CCAAGAAAACCACGTTCTAGCGTGTCAAATCGATAAGCTAGTGAATAAGACCTGATGAGCGAGTGAATGGACTGGCTCGCCAGAGTCTATATCTTGGATTTTTACTGTAGGGCTTAAACTTTTAGTTCTACAGATATGGGTATGTGGCACTTGCTGTCTCTGCCTAAAAATTTTGATCTGTACACAGTTCGGGAAGCCTATTGGTTGCGTAATTGTCTGGAAATTCGGTTTTCCTCTGGAAGACAGCTGAAAAGCCTGGGTCTGGTTTGCTATGAGTAGGTTGTGTAAGAGCAAACCTGAGCCAACACTCTAGCTTGAAGCTTCTTCATTTGCCACAAGGATTCGACATAGCTGTATTGCTCTTGAAGGCATCGCCCGCCTTCATTTGATGTTCCTACGTCTTCCTTGGATATCGTAGCTTCGTGAGCAAGGGCATAGGACGTTATGATTTCGCACCTCAAAAATACGACAGCACAGGTGGGCGGGGCCCCATCCGCTCAGGAAGAGGATGCCGCTCTGCCCCCCTGGGTGCCATAATTGCTTTGAACTAGCCTTCAAAACTGATCCCTCTTCCAAGAATAACGGGTAATGGAGCTCATATATTACGTGAGTCAGTAATGAAGAAAAAGGCAGAAAAATCGTGGAAAATTCCTATATAGAACCTCATGCTGGCCAGGTGGGCGGGGCGCCGACTCTTCACTAAAAACGGTGCTATCCTCTCGCTTTTTTTCAGATGCAAAAGCTAGTACATACTGCATCTTCATAAGGAGGGTATATGTTCATGATATCCAAGAAAGGGCGCAGGAACACCAAATGAACGTGAGCACTGCTTTCAGAACAAAATGGTCATACATTATGCGTCAGTTGTTCCCGAAGGAAACATCGTGTGCGCATCCCTCCGTTGCATTTCATGTACAGGGATGCACACACGACGCTTGGTAAACTCTGTTCCACAAACCGCTTACTAGACGCTGATCAGCGATGTTAGAATGAGCTAAAAAGTGACTGTTGTTGTTAGTGACGACACAATACAGCGAGGTGTTAGTTGCAATACAACGCTGCTCCTGTATGAGCTACAATTTCACCAAAGAAGTGATCGAAGAGCACGAGAAAAAGTGCCCTGTGAAGTGCGTAGTACCTCTTCGCATTCATTGCAGTAAATAACTGATTATGTGTTCCTTAGACTTTCACCTTCACTACGAGAGTAGTACCAGCGTTGGATTCTTGGCCGGAAGAACAGTTGGGTCAAGTTAACACGATAATCGAACTAGTGAATAGGCGTTCTCCTACCGGTGTATCCTGAACGATATCCTCATTGTAAGCACTCAACCACTTAAACCCATCTTTAGCTTCTTTGGTGCCGTTGTAGCCTGACCTAGCAATTATTGGGTGTTAGGATCGCCCGTGTTAGTATTGTAATTCACAATGTTGTAAGCTATCTGGAGGAGCCTATTGTCGTCAGTGTATTCGGGATCCTCCATCATATCTAGCTCTAAGCCCTCTATCAGACCACTACGAAGGCCCTCTACTCTCATCACCTGGGCTTGTAGATCAGCTGCAGAGTCTTCCACTTCTGCGAGCTGTTGGAAGTGAAGTGGAACCTCTGCAGGATCCAAAATTCCTTTGCTGCCCTTCTGCAGCATCTCCATCCTCAGGTCTAAGACACGACGTAAGATGCTCCTTCCGCCACTCGTGCTTCACGGGCGTTTTGATCACGACGGTCGACTGACGAGCCAAAAACTTTCTTTTGACCCGTATCACTCTCGCGACCGTTCTGCTACCGTTTCTCTCAGCGAGGCGCAGCGTGTTGAAATGGAGCGTCGACAGCATAATATAGAGCTTGTACGTCTCCAGCGGGCTGAAATAAATTTATAATCAAGCGAAACGGGAATAACAGCACATTGCTGACTTACTAGAAAAGAGTGGCAGCAGGACGTACTTACAATGGAGGGGGGGGGGCAGGGGAACGGAAGGCGACCGGGTGAGCGGGGAGTACGGTGCGGGACTCGCTGGATACTCCTGACTAGGAGCATGCAGCGTCTGCCGATTTAAAAGCATCAGTGGGTAAGATAAGATGAAGAGAGAAGGGATCAACAGAAATGCAAGCGTACCTCCGTTGCGGTTCCGCACAATGAAGTTTTAATGGCGACAGCGCCTTTACAACGCTGAATAAGACGTTTTAGAATACAGTCACACACCGTAGGCAACGCTTGCATCGCTACCTATCCAAGGGAAATATATCTGCTCTTCCGTTAGCAAGTAATTCATACAGTAGTACGCCGCATAGGAAATCGTAGCACCCGGTGGAGGAAGGGAACGCGGCATGGTGGAGTGGGTGATGTAAGCGCGAGCCTTCAGACGATTCTGCCGCATTTTCAGCATTGTACAACGGATGTGTAACTCACATCAGTCCGTTGTTTGAATACCTCATTATGTCCCAAGTCTTGAAACGTCGGCAGAAGATGGATTTGCCCTTATCTAATTGTAATGAGAAGAAGTTTTTGAGTAGCGCCTTCGGAAATGAATAATGCCTGGATGCACTACTACGCCCCATGCATCATGACATAGTGAACGGCAGCTGGTGGACATGCGCTTGATAAGATCCATTGTCTAGCCTCCTCCCGGCGCCATTCTTTCGCACAGCTGCGGCTGCGTGCCATTGCGTACACTGCGGAGCTACAGTAACCTCACGCCTAGTTCCATTACTCCTTGGGGACGTAGCATCTTAATGAATTTTGGTGATTATGATCAAAGAGTGACATCTATGGATATTTTTAGTAGACTCTTCCTGTGCAGTAGCCTCATGGGCGTTTTCAAGGGAGGAAGCGGTATCATTAAGCGAAAGATACCTCTATCGCGTAATTTACATACACATAAAGGGATCAAACGAAGTAAAAAAAAAATCGAAATAATCAAGTACAACTTGTAGAGTAATTCTTCCAAACATGACAGTTGTCCCTCTACAGAGTTTTCCTCTTGAAGAAAAAGTTACATAAAATGTAGTAAAGCATGCGGTGTTGAGTGAGCTTCATGGATATACATTCAGTACTCCCAACCCAAGGATTGCTCCCACGGTTTCTCCACGTTCCATATTGTTTGGAGAGCGTGGCAAGTCTCCGGTTTATCCAGCCGCACGCTTTCCCCTCTCGCCGAGATCATAATAGTCAGGTACTCGCCAAATCGCTGGTCTAAAAAGTGGGTTGAGCAAAACGGTAATAAAGAACCACAGTAACTTTACAGGACATGTTTACCGTTTCCAAGAAGAGATATACCGTTTCCGTGTTGATGGTGACCCGTCCTCTCGGCAGACTTGTAGGGCTTCCCATTGTTTGCGCCCCTGCGTAACTTGAAAATTTTTGCCGTATATCATTTGTTGTTTTGTGCTTTCTTATTCCAGCCCGCTCCACAAAAATAAGCAGCTGCAATCAATCATGGACTATGGCGCAATCGCAAGTACTCTATCACCAACCGCTATCTTTTCACACATACCAACAGAATAACACCTAGAGTCAGCTATCCTGGCCCTTCGTAGTTTAACTTGGCGAGGAATAGTGACGAAGAGGAAGGTATCTGAACACCTGTATCCCACTGCGCTCCAATATAGACGCATGTCCCACGAGGTCCCTCCTCGACATTGAATAAAACTAGGCGTGAGGTTACTGTAGCTCCGCAAGGTACGCAATGGCACGCAGCCGCAGCTGTGGGAAAGAATGGCCCCGTGTGCTTCGATCTAGTAAAGATGAGGTGAAGAGCAGGGTGAAGAGCAGTGAGACGTGAAGCAATTTGTAGTATGGACAAAAGTGCAAGAGGAAACAAAAGAAAAGAGAACAAAAAACAGAGCATAAGGAATAAAAGCAAGACACGATGCAGAAGTAAGAGAAGTTACATATGGACTATTAAGAACCAAGACCAATTGTTTAAGCGAGCAAACGACAGCATTGGTTACATCCACCAGGAGACTAATGTTTTGGTTGAATTCTAAAGCAACCCACTAGCTCTAAATTCAAAGAAATGATTCTCGAAAAGAGAAAACATAGTGTAGTCCGCTGCGGACGATTGGCGTGCTGGGCAGAATGAGTGGGCCACAGTGAAAAATCCTATCTTCGTCAATTAAAACAGGCCCGAAACTCACCCCGCTTGACAGAAACCAAAAGGGCGGAATCATGCCAAAAATGATATCATTACGAAGGAATGCGGAATGTGATATAGATCTTACCGATTCAAACGGCGTTTTCGGCACCTCGAAGCTGTCTGAGAGCGATGATTATCACCTTTCCCGGCGTTGGCGTCTCCATTAACCTGAAACCGAGAAATGTAAGATAAATAAATAGATACCATACAAAAATCGCATATGCGGACTGCGCACGTTCAGTGTCAGATAGAAGAAACGTACAGTAGGGAGAAGATTAGGCAAAAAAAAACACCAAATTGCAGAACAGATTGTAATACATTACATGAAAATATGAAAAATAAATAAATGGTAGTGGAAGAGTGACTATTGATCGGCGGAGGACGAGGCAGAAAAACTTAATTGTCAAACGTACATTTCACGCCAGCGAAATCACCGTCGGTCGCGTCGCGGTCATTGCGCTGGGGCGCGTTATCTTCGCGATTGGGTTCACGATACACGAGACATTCGTAGGAATAAGAACATCACTTGATTTGGAGGAAATGATACAATCGAGAGCTGCGAAACCCTGAAACATACTTCAGACCAGGGAATTTTGTAGAACTTCCTTCTACTTTCCTGGAATCTCAGAATTTCCTCCCACAAACACTTCTATACCCACGTTTTAACCGTAACGATCAGTTTATCCTCGAATTCAAGGGAATTGCGATCACACCCGAACTCGTTTAGGGAGCCACATCACGAATGTCTATGTTACAACACAATACTGATTTGTACATACTTTGAATGTACCGATGTTGAACAGCAATCCTATTGTACCCTCTCATTTGCTCTAGCATTGGTGCTTCTAGGACTCTTGTTATCACATAGAATAAAGATATATTTCGTCGTCATCTTGCAACTAAGGTGAACTACCACGCACCTCCTTCGGCAGCACTTCACCCTTCTGAAGTACTCGTTAACCCTGTCGCACTAGATTTACGTCTTAAACGTTCAAGCTCATGGAGAATACTAAAAACTCAGAAAAAAAAACCGACATGCGGTATCGTGCGACAGGGGCTGTAAAATCCGTGTACGGTGTTCCATGAAAGCTGTACAAGCCTTATGTGATACGGTTGCTCTACGGGCGTTTAATACGGTGGCATACTCGTTGTCCATGTTCAGAGTTACTTTTACGTATTTCTTTCACAGCTGCTGATTATATCCAGCTAATAGTATAGAAACTATGTGTGTTTATAAACTAATTTTAGTTGTTAGTTGTCCTTTACTCGCCATATAGCATGTATTCTCTCAGAGGCACATATTGAAAAGTGCTGCCATCTGCTGTTTTTGTCAGTACTATTATGATAGCTTTGTGTGCTCTCAAGTTCAGAGCTACTAGCCCTGTTCCGATTTTTGTTCAGTTACGCCAAAATTGTGTTCCCTAAATCAAATCCCAAAGTTATATTAGAGAGGAACATGTGTCATGTGTACGATGAAAAATAAAATGTATATTCAATAAACTCTAGTATCAACAGACAACAATGAAACACTAGAGTCCTGAGTTCACTAACAACTTAGGGAAACTATGAAAATAAAGACTTGAAGAGTTCATTCCGCGTTTCGTGATTCCTCCACTCGACCATTTCCGGCATTGCTGGATGAAAATTCACCAGTTTAAGAATTGGAACACATCTGTAAAACAAGAAATGAGAAGATTTTAGGCGCTAGCAACGTTGAGGGGTGTTTAAAAGGCACACCTCGTGTTCAGAAATAATGAAGGGCCGGGGGGGGGGGTAATAACAACGTCATTGTTGGAAGAGCTAAGTGTGGTGTAGCCAAACGCAGCTCCTCCAACATTGATGCTGACAGTGAGTGCCCGCCCAGCCCAAGTTCCCACAGCCTTTACGGGACTTCTTGTGCAAAAGTAAAATAATACACTCGAAGATAAGGGCTTCTGCCCAAGTCCAAAGCTAAGAGGACCTCCAAGGATTACAGTAGTTCTAACTGCTCCTCCTCTTTGTTCATCTCCTCCGAATCATAAGCGGAAAAAAATGCACCGCACTGTACACTACTTATGCAAGCAAAAAATTAGCTTACTTGGTCTTCCTGTCTTTAGAGGCCCGGTTATCAATTTCCTTCTTCCTAGCTCGTTTACTTTTCAGCTTCTGCATTTCTATATAATGCCTAAACATACGGGTAAAAAAATAGAGCAGAAAAACATCTGAGTATAGGGGAAATAACTGACGTAGTCATTGCAACGGGGTCCTGAGTGTTATTTGATTTTTTTTCTGATAAGCTCTTTCAATTTCTCGGAAGTTTCAGGCCAATATCATCTGACAGGAACTTCAAGAAGAAATCTTAGTAATTTCGAAATATCACGAAAAAAAGAGAAAGACAGCTATTCCTTGAAAATAACGCGCAAATTCGTTTTGATGACCGTTTCCCCGAAATGGGAGATAATGACTTATCTGAGTGTGGACTAGATAGACATTTCAGAAAGGTTTGGTCCCAAAAATATCGCAAAGTGAGAGAAATACGCTTGTGCAATAGTGGTCCAGTCAATCACCCACTCAAGCTTCGGACTAACTCTTTGGTTAATTTCCAAGGATAAATTAAGTACAATAACGCTATAGAATATCTCCAGTGCTTTACAAGGAAGCGAACTTTAGGCCCAGTTTTCGGCATTTTGTCGGAGCCGAGGACAAAGGTCAGGGAACATTTAGAAGTGGTCGAAGCTGTTACGATCTATCGAATAAAAGAGTTATAACGATAATTAGCCAAATGGTCACGGATTCAACGAAACAATAGGCTAAATCAGGGAGAACTTTGGCGTATGTGACGGTGATGTGGGTAAATGAAATGAACGCTCCACATTCAATCGATCAACGCACGCCGCGCAATGACCGCGACGCGACCGACGACTGACTTCGCTGGCGTGAAATGTACGTTTGACAATTAAGTTCTTCTGGACGAGGCGAAAACAGACGCCAAATTTTTTGCGACGGCACACCAGGCAACGCTTAGAAACAGCGGGAAATTGTGAGAGTTTTACGGCGGGAATTTGAAAGGGGAATATGAATTCTGGTTTTTTGGAATTTTTACGCAATTAAGCAATTCTTTTTGCTTTTTCTGCTATTCGTGTGCAGAACAGAGCCCAATGTACTGATTTTTGGAACAAATGGAATCACGCGATTTCCGTGGACGATTCCTTTAACTTACGTGTAAAACTGTTCTGTACACTTTCAATGGCTTTGATGTCCTTTTTCAAGTGGGGATTGAAGACAGTTGTCCCACATTCCACAATAGGGCGAACATAGAGTTTATAAGTACGTAAAAGTGTGCTAGCGTCTTTAGTTCTGAGGGCTTTGAAAATATTGTAGATCCGACGCATACCTTTACCCACTAGAGCCTTGTAATGTTTACTAAAATTTAATTTGTAATCATACGAAAACCCAAGATCTCTAACTTCCTTCACAGACTTTAGGACTTCGTTCTCCACGAAATATTAGGTCGTTGCAAAAGAAATGCAGGATTTTGCTTGCTTGTATTTCATACTTATTTTATTCCAATAATATGTTACTTTAATATGAAGTGTTATATACTATTCGGAAGCTCATCTCATGCTCTTTCTAAATGATACTCCAAGATTGGTTGTAATTCATTTTATTATAATTTTTATTGACATTTTATTGCAGATGTCGAAACGTGAATTTCGCACTATTTTCTTCTATGAGTTCAAGCTAGGACGAAACGCTGCCGATACAGCTCGGAACATCAACGAAGTTTGGGGTCAAGGAAGTATCAACGAATCTACGGTCCAACGTTGGTTCCAGAAGTTTCGCTGTGGCAACACCAGCCTTGAAGATGAACCTCATGTTTGGTGGTCTGCCGCCGGTCTCATCCATCACAGCTTCCTGAATCCTGGTGAAACAATTACGGCAGAGAAGTACTGTCAACAAATCGACGAAATGCATCAGAAGCCTTAACGCATGTGCCCAAGGTTGGTCAATAT